TAAAAATTTTCATTTTATTCACAAAATTTTATTTTATATATCTTGATATTTTATTATATTAATATTTGAAACTATCGTAATTTATAGTACAATGTTTGAAAGAACTACATATTATATAAAATTATTATTACTAACATTATAGCAATAATAATCATAAAAACAAAATTCGTATTGTCCTAAATTATACGTTTGGAATTATAAATAAAAAATTTATTAAACTTGCAATATTGAAAGATTTATGATACCAAATTTATATACGAAAACACGATTTTGCTGAAGTTTTTAAAAATTTAGGTAGTTACACTGAAAAAAGTGTTTGGTATTTGTGTATAACCATAATTGCATGTTAAAATAATTGATATATTATCTATTATAATTTATATTAATGTAATAAAGTTAATTTACATTAATTTATATTAATTTAATAAAGTTTCTTCAATAATAACTAAAACCAAAAAAAATCTAATTAAATTGTATTCAAACGTATCACATCACAATTGTTACATAATTATTTTATCGTCCATATTCGTAGTAATTATTACACAGCAGTGCTTCAACAAGATATTATCGGTGTAATATTACCTACATTAAAATTTTTGCGATAACATCGAACGGGATAGGGGCTTTATACAATTCACATTGACAATTGTCGGCTCGCAGGTAGGTAATCATAGTCCACGTCCACAGTTCGATGTGCGTCATCGGTACTTCCGGAATTAATACTTAAACGCGAGAAGACATCAAACGGAAAACTTTCCGCGCAATTCACGCTCCGTTGAGGAGGTTGTCGCAGTATTTTATCTCAGCACCGAAAAACATCTCATACATTTCTCAAGAGCTTTGCTGGCAGCTATTATAAGCATTTGAAAAATTCATTATCGTTACTGATGTCGCAGTGCATATAAAAAAAAACATACGCTATAATTACAAAAATATTCTTTTTTTTTTTCAACTAAATGGAAATAAGTTTAAGAACTGAGGGAAAAAACTTTTTAAATTATTTTTTATAATATATTTATACTTTAATTTTAAGATAGATTATTTATTATTATTATTGGGTAATTATGTAAAACAATTTATCATGAATAATCTGATATTATTCGTAAATTTTATACAATGATGTGTTAAAGTACTTAAACTGTGCATGCATATACAGTTTTTACCGTTTCATATATCTTGCAATTGCATCACTCATTCGCACGTGATGGCGTCGAGACGTTCAAAAAATGATCGAAATATCACCAATACACGATAAACGTTAATGGTCGAAAATTAATTGGCAAGTTTTTAACGGGGCAATAAAAATAATGAACCATGACGACGGATAGGTAGGCCGACGACGCAAAAATCGCGCGATAGACCGGCCGCTCCATTTTCGTCGAGAATGGCCGCATTAAACGTTATGGATGTCCGTACCGAAAGGGGTGAGCGATTTTTCTTCGAGTTAATGCGCCACGGTAAGTGAGGCGCGCCGCGCGAAGAGAGTTATGACTCGTACAATATCATCCCGGAACGGCGACGATGCACCCGCGAGAGACACGATAACAATAAACGTAATAGTGTAAGGAAGCTGGCCATTAATGAACAACAATCTCGAAAACCTCAAATATGTTACAAGGATTCAAGTATCAGCAGTAAGTGTTTTAGATGGAAGAGTCCATGAATTGTCACGTCAATAACTGACGATATTTTAAATAAATATAAATTCCATTTATATTAAACTTAAAATATTATTATAAAACGTCATGTTGTAAAATGTCATGTTACCACGTTGCGTTAAATAAATAGATACATGCAACACATTACGGAACAAATTATAAAAGCAGAATAGTGAATAAAAGTAGAATATTGAAAATTAAAATATCAATCGATTTTGGCGAATTTGCTTTTGAGAAAATTTAATTTTTATTTTTTACGAGCGTATATTTCTCTTTGAAATATTCTCCAATAATGAATTAATTAAAGTTACAATTGCGCTACATTAATTGTAGCGACACAGAGGAGTAATCGCGCGTTGATACATCAACGTGAAATGTCAATTACGCGACTGTCGACTAACGAGCCAAGAGAACGGCACGAATTTATATCAAATGAATTTTCCGTGTAATAAATGTGATCGAATTTAGAGTTAATATTACTGAAATATAATCTGCATGATCATATTTAACATTTAGTATACCGGAGCAAATTGCAGACTTGCGATTGGATGAAAAGATTTGACACATTATTTTCATGGATATATTATACCATATTAATCATAATTAAATTAGTAATTTAACTTAAAAATGTAGTGTGTATATGCTAAAAAAAAATCGTAAGATATGTAAATTTAATTGCGAAAAATTTTTATTTCTTAATGTTCACAATAATTCTATTGTTTATGCACATACTCTCACGAAAAGAAGGATATTGATGAAATATCTAAAAATTTAGCCATAAATATAGATCTGAAAATAGTTTTGAACTATCAAAATAATTACGTAGAAAACTCAAATATGATAAACAATATTGCAAAAAGTTTTGACATTCTAGCAACCAATATAAGTATATTATATGATTATTTGAATGGCCCAACGAAATTATTTTCAGATCTGTGTTTAGCTGAATTTTTTAATGCTTCAACAATTAAAACTGTCCATGCCAAATTAAAATTCATTAGATTTTTCATTATGTAGTTGAGAGAAGAAAGGTTACTTACTGAAGTAATACAAAAGTTAACAATGAAATGTGAATTATTCAGCAAGTGACGTGTAACACACGACTCATCATTTATTTAAACAAAAGAAAAATATTTAATGAATCACGTAACAGTAACGATGTAACACGCGATACGCTGCATCGAGGCTTTCGATACTAATTAATTTTTATCGGTAAACTACACATAATTATGATGCTCGTAAAATTTACACGGATGTTATAAACCATACGATCAATTGCGAAAGGATTTCATTAAGATTTCAGAAAGCAAATCTGCAGTAATATTCAACAATGGTTCGCGTTTCTATGAAGAAACTCTGTTCACACGGTAAATTATAATAATTTTGGTTTTAAATAAAAATATGTAAAGATGTAAATAATGGTCTATAGTTTCATATAACTTTAACAAAAATTGTATAAAATAATTCTTTAAAAAGTTAAATATATTTATGATAATTGTTAGCGATGTATGAAATTAATGTAGATCTATTAATGAAGGTAATGTTAATTGGAGAAACAGAATAAACATATTAAAATACAGTAGAAACTATAATAAAAATATACAATATAAAAAAGCCATTCGAAAACGAATGATAAACTTGTAAAATTGTCACAAATTTCTCGTCCTACAATTCTATAACTTTCCTCTGATTTCCGAACAAAATTTCATTAACAATTTTTCCTAATTTTCAATACTATTTCAAAATTTTTTGTATTTTCTTGATTTGGAAAACATTAAATATTTTATTGAGAAAGTAATACAACATAGCATCGTAAATTACTATTAATGTTGCTGATCCTGCTTGAATTTAATTGTAGCAGTTGGTAGCAAAACTACATATAAATGTATAATATGCGTATATCAAACTTCTTTAAAACCAAGAATTTTAATTTGTCACACAAAATTCCTTAACTCCCTTTATTCCTCGTTTTAAATTTTCCCAACAATTAATTTCTCACTTCGGTAAAAAAGATTTAACAAAATAATCTAAAATGTTTACTTTAAATAAATATCTCACTAACAAAGGCAATAATGTTATGTTAGGCATAGGATAAGGATTAGAATAAGGATAGGATAATGGAAAATTTTATGTCAGATTGTATGGGTTATGAATATTTAAGAAATATATTGTGAATCAAGTCCCCTTCTTGGCTATATTTGTAAAGCTGAAGTGTAAATAAATACTACTAATAATGTTATGTTTTTATCCATTGCTAATAAAAACAGCGATAATCCACAACCTTTTTCTGATATCTTTGAAGACAATATCCGTCAAAGCCTTAAAAGCGTTACAACAATATTATTTTAGACAGTTACAATCTCCCTATGTTTTATCAACTCAACAAACGCTTTTGACGACAAATCACTTCAATCCTTCAAGTAATTTTATTTGCTACTGGCATCCCTTTCACATTTCTTCCAAAATACTTCAATTCGTCACATTTAGGAAGGTCTATTGTTGAGGTTTAATCCCAAAATTGTTCATCCATTGAATGTGAAGAGACTCACCGTGTTGATGCAACTTTCCGCCTCCGACGGCCTGCTGTTGTGAATGTTTATGATGATGCGGTTGCTGCGGTTGCTGTTGCGGCTGTTGCTGTTGCTGCTGCTGTTGCAGCTGCTGCTGCTGTTGACGCGAGTCCCGCGCCATGATCGCAGCGATGCTGAAGTCGGTTGCGCATTGACGGTTCGAGTTACAATTATTATTGAGATTGTTCAGGAGACTGCTGTTCGGCGACGGGCTCGAGCTCTCATCGCCGTCATCGCCGGCGCACCCGGACAGCCCGGTAGGTACCGCGGAGGCGGCGGTGCCCTCGCCCTGCATCTTCCTGCCCAGGTAGAGGTGATGTCGAGATTCCTCGTCGTCCTCCTCGCTGCCGGCTCCTCCGGCACCACCGCCACCGCCGCCGCCTCCGCCACCACCGCCGCCACCGTCGCCGAACGAGGTCAGTGTCAGTCCGTTTCTCTTCCTACCGGCGAGGCCTCGCGACTCCAGCAACATCACCTCGCGCGCTGCTTCCTGAGCCACGTGGGGTCTACCGATAAACTAGTCAGGGAATGTCTCAGGGCGGATCCGTTTGACGCCGTGACGTCGCTACGGGCGTCGTGCGTCCGAACGATGCCGACGCTGATAATTGTTGTCCGGAAGACTGTATGCGCTTCTATCCTCGATACGCGCGTACCGCTGAAGCGGCATCAGCATCCTCTCCTGCAATCGTGCGAATCAACTCCGATTCCTCGCTGTCGACATACGCGCGTATACGCGTGCGAGATGACAGAGCACGTGCTTGTGAAGCATGAACGAAAACCGGGCACGGATTGGTCAGTTACGATCGCCGCGTTCGTTGCATGGTCAATGTAGTATGGAGAAAACGCTGATCAGAGTCCTTACTGATGAGAGAGAGAAAGAGAGAGAAAGAGAGAGAGAGAGAGAGAGAAAGAGAGGGAGCGATAAAAATCGGAGCACAACACTAGAACTAGTTTAGCGATCAGCGATCGGTAGTGAGTGTGATTCTAAGACGCCGGCCAAATGTTGGCCGGAGTGGCACTTCGTTAACAGCGTGGGGAAAAGTTACGTCGTCGCAATTCAGACACCAATTCGCTTCTCTTTCGCACGCGCGAAAAAGCGGAGCTGCTTGATGTATCGTTTACACTGCCAGGCCGAGCGAGCGAAACGAGCAGGGAACGACAGACCGACCGGTTGCCCGACAGACTGACCCGCGCCACTGCCGGTCGCCTCTTCGTTCCGACCCCCATCCCCGCCAATACGATCGAGCTCGGTCGGACGAGCTAAAGGGACGGTAAAACGTGAGCGGGAATGAGAGGAGAGGATACCCAGCGGGTGTTGAATGGGCGGTTCCTTGGCACGCTCCTCCCCTGCGATCAGCACCCGGCTCCGCCTGCAGGCTCTCTCTTTCTGCGGGCGAAACCCACCTCGAGGTTCGCTTAAACGTTATTACCGCGTCGTTCTTCCTCTCGTTTCTACTTGTCCCTCTCTTTCTCTCGCGCCCATGTCAAACTGAAACTGCCAACCGGGAGCCGACGATACAAACACGCACGAACGTCCACAGGAGGAGTCTCTCTCTCTCTCTCTCTCTCTTGGTCAGTCGGTGGTGGTCGCGTCGCCGCCGTCGTCCTCGTCGTCGTCGTCGTCTTCGTCATCATCGTAGTCGTCATCATAGTCGTCGCTGCTCACCCAGGTCGTCTCTCCTCGTCCTACGTCGCTTTTTTCCACACTGTCTGTCTCGTCCCACTCTTCCCTTCCCCTCTCACTCTCTCTCTCTCTCTCTTTCTCGCGTCCTTGTCCCTTCTTCCTCTCACCCTCCCCTCTTCCCGCCCCTCCCAAACGTAGCAACCCGCCCCACCCGTCGCGCTCTCGCTGCACGCTCGACGTCCACACGTACAGAACGAGGTAGGGTGGCGGTGGGTATTATGGTCTCGTACGCGCCATCCAGCCACGGCAGCTGCCATTTTTTCTTACGAGAGGGGGGCAATTGCTGACAGGGACCGCTTTCCTCCGCGCTAGTACGCCGCGACTCTCGCCTCTCTTTCACTCTCGTCCTCTTTGCCACCCTCTCTTTTCCTCTCTCGCACTCTGCCGCTCTCTCGAGCGCAATTTATTGTTTTACTGGCGGAGCTTTAAACACGACCGAACGACGGTGGCGGCGCGGCTTCAGCGTCAGCATCAGCGGCGACCGCGGCTAACGCAGGTGGGTGGTTAGCTCGCTGCTGGCTGGCTGGCTGACTGGGCGGTGGATAGGCGGGTGGGTGGCAGTTGCTCTGGTGGCTCGTCTCGGCTGGGCTCGCCGAATGGGAGCGTGGGAGTATATCGTCGTATACTTCTCTAGGAAATCCCGTCAACGTCTACTACCGCGACTATGCTACACTTCACCGATCGCGCGCACTTATTATTTCCCATTCTGTTCTCCCGCGATGCACCTTCTCTATCTTTCGAATCTCGTTCGATCTGTTTTTCAACATTTGTGGATGTATAATCGCGAAAGTTGCACTTTGCCAATCTCACGACAATTAAGGGACAATCGATTTCTATCGATCGCACTTTACGCTTACTTTTTTTTCTTACAATTAGTCTTCTTAAAGTAGCATACATTTTTTAAATACAGAGTAGGTTATTCATAATTTAGTCTCGTGTAGAATATTTTTACATTTCTTGTATTTATATCTCCGTCCATTTTTATAATTTTTTTTATAAGAAAACGTTTATTATTTTTATAATATTTTCTTAAATTTTTATATATTTGTAATATTTTTATAAAGTGTAAGAAAAAACAGAATAAAAATACTGTTGTTAGGAACAATTATATTATAATAAAATTTAAAAATCTCCCTCTTTATTACGAGTATTTAAAAAAATATGTAAACGTTATTAATTGATTTTAGCATATAATGCTATCTGTAAATACGTTAAACTCAATTTAAATTGAAGAGCCTGAAAATTCGCTCGAGTATTCATTCTTAATTCATAAAATCTTCTCACTACTTCTCGAATATCGGTTTTGTTTTTATTTCTCAATATCCACTTAAAAAAAATGTAGATGTAGATTTAACACACACCATGGGTGTTGAATATAATTCTCACCGTGTTGATGTTGATACAAACACCATGAATTTAATCATTACGAGTTTCAAACCATAGATAACTTTACAAAGTAATATGTATGTATATCAGATGTTTATATTTTGTATTAACACCAACACGGTGTAAATTATATATAAATTGCAAATGTTTGTAAATCCATCTTTATATTTTTTAGTGTTGTTATACTTTCCATCGTTTCTTCAGATACAAAAAGAGAGGTACGCAAAGTATGTATACATAAGATCCCGGAATTAAGATCTTTGCTAATCGTTAAATCGCAATCTATTATAATCCTGTAGGATCACGAAGAGTTTCGCATCTTCGTTTATGTCTGTATCCACGGAGGACCCTTGAAATCTCCTTTTATCCCTTCCCTTCACGATTCGGCGCGCTATTAACGTCGTTATTGCCATTTGTCGAGGAACCGGGAAGTACGCGTGCGCCAGCAGCTGCAATACCGAACTGCTTTTTCCGCTGGGCGATTCTCCGACAGAAGTATTACGGTAGAAATAACGTTATCCTCGGCCGGAACGAGCGTCGAAGATGAATGGGGGTTGAAGCCCGCTTACCCTGCATCGCCGGCACTTTTCCTCCGTCCCTCCCCCCTGCACCGCCGGGATATTATTTCGTCGAATATCTCGCGAGTCGTTTCGAACGCAGCATTTCGCTGCAGATAAGTCTCTTGGCTTTAACCAGTTCGGATCCCCGTAAAAAACCTCGAAATCGTTAAATCTCGCGCACGAAGCAACGCAGTTATATTTTTCTATTACGATTAAATTGTCAATTATAATTGAATTGGATTTCGGAGATAGCAGAATAACAGGTATGTGTAGTATATCGAATTTTTATTGTAAGATATATAATGGAACGATATATGTATATTCTTTGTGAATAATTTTTTAATAAAACCATTGGAAAAAATAAAAGTTACCATTGTGAATTAAGAAAGTTTATATTATTTACTCTACTAAATATCAAATTTTAAGTACAAAATTGCAACGTAAAATAATAATAGCAATAAAGAGATCAATACAAAGAACAAATGAAAACAATATATGAATAGGTATTAATGTGCTCCTCGCTCTAATGAGGTGAACGGTAAGATTCACGAAATAACACGCAAATCTCCTAGTATCTTTGAAAAAAGAAATTTTTAACTAATTTATTTAAACATCAAAAGACTAAAATTTAAAACTAATCTTTTATCGATGTAAAGAGTATCATGGGGACGTTTCGACTTCAGTCATCTTCGCCACTATATTATAAACGATGGAGAAATAAAATATAAAGAAAATCGTAATAAATAAAATGTTAAATTCATAATCATAATATAAAAGGCAATCATCAATAGCGAAGGTAACTATTACAAAATTAGTATAAGAGCATTCAAACGTACATTCTTCGTTAAGAGTTATTACAAAGGTACATTGAGAAGCAGAATTATTTCATCGTTCGATGGCGAAGAAGTAAAATCAAGAGATTAAATATTCTTGTACTTAACTCTTGTACGAAATCTCACGAAGCACGCGCGTGTCGTGTTTTCCCGAACGTTGCAAATCTTCAAATTATCGGTTACAATTAAACGTATGGATGAAGTCGGTAATTTTTCCCGCGGTCAAGCGCGGCGGTGCGAAAACGCAAAATTACCACCGCAGCTACGCAAAATAATTAACGTCGCGCTAAGACGGTACGAAGCGGTTAACTAAGAGAAGCGGCGTGCTCGAAAATAAGAAGGTATTCGGCGCGCAGGCGGAGGCATATTACCCCGGATATTATTATAATAAAGCAGGAAATTACCTCGTGTGATAAATGCGCGGGTAGCGATGCGGCCTCGTAAATTATATCATCAGCGGATTATCGTAATTACACAGCGCGGCATATCGCGAGTGAAACAACGCGCAATGCCGTTGTGTAGTTGCTGCCGCTGCGGGGGAGAGAGGGGCAGAAAAAGAGAGAGAAAGAGGTCTGAAAATCTCGCGATTCGCGCGCGCGATGCGTTCTGCTATTATCCCGCGGGTGGTAAACGTAATCGTTCGCGCACAAATTGCGAGCCGTGCGAAACAGTTAATCGAGGCGTGACGCGATTCGGCGGCCCGATACATTTATGCGCGATCGGATATCGATTCTGCTTTTACCTCAGCGACCGGAAGCGACCGACGCGCTCTCGGTTATCATGTTATCGCTCCCGACTTTCGGCGAGGTTGCGCTCAATTCGCGCGCGGTGGTTGCGTCTGTGGCTCGATTGAGTTAATTTAATTAATCGATTCGGGCGGCGCGCCGTCGAAGCGTCGAGATCGCTAATTTCGGTGCGCAAAAGCACGAGAATAAAGCGCCTAAAAATTCCCGCTGATACGATCAGCCGGGTATAATTTTCTGTTATGTATCTTGACAATTAAGCCATA